GATATCGTCGATTATTGAAAATAAATTAAGCAAATCAAGTGTTGGAGAACCATGGTTCTCCATGCTACAGCACATATGGGCCAGCTCGACCGGAGTCGGAGTGATACAACGGCCTCACAGAAAACTGGCGTGAAACAACGCTTGCGTTGTGTTTCGTCGTGTGAGAGAGATTAGGAGTCCCAATTATCCCCCCTCGCTACCCCAATCTCCCCAATCCTTAAATTTCCTACAATTTTCAAATTCCTAATCCCCAAAACGCCGGTAACACATTTGTAACGCCTCTTACTTACCATCAGGTGATCCGATAAAACAAATTGTCACAATTGAATTATTAGTGTCTAGTGAACATTGCTACGATAAATTCTTATTATTCATTTGTCACTTCGCTTCTAACGAGTGTTATGAGAACTTGACTAACCGACTACACATTAGACAGGGCAGCACTTTCAGCCGCTATGTTCAAGCCGCCTGCTATTTATGTATCATCGCCTGACTGCAAATATTTTTAATATTGCTGATGGATTTTAAACTGGTTTTAATCTCAGTGAAACAATAAAGGGCTTAACTTTCCAAGTACCTACGATGCACAGCATCATAGCATTCTTACTAAAGTCAAAATCTCGGGACCTGAACAATCTGGTTCTTCTGCGAGCGTCTCTTATACGATGACTCAACGCTGTGTGTTACGTAAAGGCGTTAATAAAATCATTATTTATACACAACACACGGTACATTGTCGACAACCACTCACTACTTACTGATATGCCTCATTCAAAACAGCTGTAGGTGTTATTTCATTAAATTAATGATTTTATTTAGGTGTTTAAAAGCATAGTATTAGTTACAACAATGCAAAATAAATATAAATCTCCCGATCGATTTCGATCATAGCGGCCAGTGTGTCTAACTAGACTAGACCCTTACGCAGGAGATGTTACAGTGCACAAGTGTGTGTGTTTAAACACAGGTGCACTCTCTGTTCTCTCACTCTCTGATCCCAATGGGACAGCAGACCGACACTGGGCACAGGACGACGAGTACGTGCTTTCCGAAGCACGAGGACGAAACACCACCGAATATCGTGACTCTGGGCTAATAATGGAATGCAGAAAATACCATTATCATATTTGGCCGGCATATGAATCGAACTTGCGACACATTGCATAGTCGCCGGTCACCCAACTACTACGTTAACCGTACCGTCATAATACAAATACAAATATGGGAACGTCGAATATCATGTGTTAGCCATGTTTTGGCAAGAATGCCTGACTCCACCAGCCACCGCGGCAATAGGGATCACAGCCCTTCGGAAAATGGCGTGAATCAACGCTTGCGTCATTTTACTGTGTAATTGAGGTTATTTTAGGTCTAATCTCCCCTCCTACATAGACTACCTTTGGGAAAAGGGGGCTTCTCCCATAGGTACGGTTACGGGTGTCTATAGGCGGCGCCGCTGATTACTTCATTACCTCCAGATAATACGTTTAGGTTGAGTAATAATATATTTAAGTAACAATTTTCCTGCCTGGTTTGGAAACTCAACAACTATACATACTTTTTTTTTAATGGGGGAACATCATCGAATGACTGCTCCCACCTGGGTGAGGCGGGAGGGAGTGTCAGACTCTTACTGACTAAAAACCACCCCGTTCCTTCTCCTGCACGTCGAGCCGGAGCCCCGGTTACCCGTTAGGTTCTCCGCGACTCCGAATCGGCATCGGCCCTATTGGGCCCCATCTGTAGTGGTCTGATGGCTCTTTGAGGCGCGCGCGGAACGCGACGCGCCGTACGCTCGGGTCTGTTTCTGGTCGGACGGGGAGCCACCCATGCTCGCCGTCCGCAGGCCCGCGCTTACGGTGGCCGGAGATCGAACTATGCATGCTACGAACATTCTTTCAGTAGTGGAAATTGCCTCTACCTTTTTATTTATACTAATTTGTAATTCAATGTCAGTTTGTCAGTGGTTATGTAAAACATCAAACACAATAGTTCCTATTATATATTACATAGTATACAATATATAAGTTTATTTTCGATATATATATGCAGGAAAACCTAATTGGAAACACCACTAATTAGATATTTATTAATACATTGTACTGAGCTCAGCATCTGTTTGGTAGGAAATATGTACATATATATGTATGTATATCGAGATATATAGACATTCCTCTAACTCTAAAATAATTGTAAATAGTGTATACCATGTAAAATACGACATCGCTTTTTGTCATTACCTACACAGTTGTTTGTAAATATGGAGATGTTAAGATCCATCCAGAGTTTTGTTATGTAGATCGGCTTCCTAATAATTTGAGCTATATACATTGGACACCGTGTCGGACAATGGTGACCGATACTAGTGGAGGCCTTTTACAGTTTTCGTTGTCAGTTAAAGGCAGAGACACATTTGACAGAGATCGGATAACAACACTGTCGGATACAACTGAACCTTTTACACTTCGATCTCCAACTCAGCTACGAAGCGTGTAGATTACGATAATAATATTCTGTACAGGCTCATGGTCCAACAGTGGACTATCACTTTGTTTGTTCGCATTGAGAATGCAGTGAATCATCAGTGCAACTGTAAGATAAAGGTGTATTCACAGTTGTGTAAATTGAAACGAAGTATATTTTAATAGATTAAGTTTAATGAATTTACAAAAATACACTTAAACTGTCAAACACCAAGCGGTCACCGGTGACCGCAACCTATTGTTCTATAATTGTGTCTATAATGACGGTACTCGACGAGTTAAAAAATTAGTTTAGGGGGCGGGGCTACGCCGACAGACAATTATGGCTCATTCTTGACGTATTTTTCGCAGTCATAACGCAAATAAGCCTGTTGTACGCCTATTGGGTGCTTTCCTCAATCAAAAATAAATTATTTCGACTGTTCAATACAATAAACTACGCCGACAGACAATTATGGCTCATTCTTGACGTATTTTTCGCAGTCATAACGCAAATAAGCCTGTTGTACGCCTATTGGGTGCTTTCCTCAATCAAAAATAAATTATTTCGACTGTTCAATACAATAAACTACGCCGACAGACAATTATGGCTCATTCTTGACGTATTTTTCGCAGTCATAACGCAAATAAGCCTGTTGTACGCCTATTGGGTGCTTTCCTCAATCAAAAATAAATTATTTCGACTGTTCAATACAATAAAATAATAAAAAATAATCACAATGACCAACTTCATTTTAGTATTTTTTAAAGCAAATTTGTATCAACAAAGTACACTGTTTGACGTTAAAAAAACGTGACGTCACAATACACAAGCTCGTACAAAATAAATAGTAAACGGTCGTTTTGACAGTACGAAAAAAGTTTTTAATTTAACTGCCTCTAGATGGCAAGTACGCCTATTATATTGCTGATGATGCTAAGATGAGTTAATCCATTAAAACGAGTAAAAATCCCTTATATTTATAAACAACTCTGTCTTTGGCCTTCCACACATTGTTCTAACCAAGATATATATATGTAGGCACGTATATAAACATATAACAAGCATATATATGTGTAAGTAAATGGAAACAACTGTTCAAATAGCGGCACGTTCGGTTAACACCTTATGTACACATTGAAGAACCTGAAACTGTGTGGACTAACCTATATTTTTATATATAGATACGATTGTCGAATTCTTTTGTGAATAACCATTCATACAACATTTATATTTTTATTAAATAATATCTATAGTTATAATAATGGCTGCCTCGTTGGCTGAGTGTCACAAGTGCGACTGTCGGGCAATGGGTCTCGGAATCGATTCCCGGGTTGGGGCAAAGTATTACTGGTTTTTTTTTTCTCAGTAGCAGCACGGAGTCTGGAAATGTGCCCGGTTTATGGCAATAGGCTCACCCCTATTACATGGGACTCATAACATAATTAGTGAAACGTGGGTGTTACATTATACAGTGTCAGTAAATTCCGTAATGTATCTCTGTCTACCCCTTCGGGGATAAAAGGCGTGTTGTTATGTTATGTATGTAGATACGATTGTCGGATTTTTTCGTGAATAACCATTAATATAATATTTATATTTTATACGCAATGTTAACATAAAACTGCAACCAGCGGTTTAGAAACAATAAATGTTCAATTACTTAACTGAGCCCCAAGGCCGTTATTATTATGGACCTTGTAAAGTGGAATGGGTCTTGATGAACATCATCAGGTTATCATAGGTCTCCTGAGATCCAAAATCAGGCGGTTGGGATCAGTAGTGGCTATTTATTGATGTTGGTAATTATGACTACTAAATAGGCTCACCTAAATTTAGACTGTAAATTAAAAGAAAATGTAATGGAATGACAAGGGCACGGACAAGAGTCCGTGGAGAATAAGAAATGTAATATAAAAAAAATAGGCTCACCCCCTATTACATGGGCCTTATAATATAAATAGTGAAAAGTGGGTGTTACATTGTACAGTGGCATAATGTGCACCTCTGCCTATCCCTTCGAGGATAAAAGGCGTGATGTTATGTTATGGTAATTATGACGTAAAAACTAATAGGTATGTTCAAATCGAATTACTTGTCATGACTGTTGATTCGTAAGACATAGAGTGCACTACCATTAGCTCATACTTGGGCACTCATATTTTTCTTCTTTTGAGATTACCCAACTGAAATCGGTTCATCAACAGCCTATAAGTGGCCACCGCTGGTCTCATATGGAGAAAGTTTGGGCATCAATCGCCACGCTTCCTCAATGCGGATTGGCGATTAAAAACTTACAATTAGAAATTATAAGCCCAGCATTCCTGACGATGTTATCCTTCACCGTTTGTCAGTGGTGTCTGGATAATCTTAGAAAGTACATATAACTCGGAAAATGTCACATTGGTATTTGCCGTTGGTAGGTTTAGAACCCGCACTCTTACGCATGAGAAGCGGGTCTGAAACCTCCAGGCCATCACAACAACAACGGATATCGGTGGTGAAATAGTTATTAATATTAGTATTTATTGTTTCAGTCCGAGGACCGGTTTGCTGGCTACAAAGGTGTCAGGGACATCACTATCAAGAAGGTAAGATGATCGTCCTTCTGTAATATATATGTATATATAGGCTTTTTTTTAAGGGGCGAAAATCATCGAATGACTGCTCCCGCCTGGGTGAGGCGGGAGGGAGTGTCAGACTCTTACCGACTAAAAACCACCCCGTTCCTTCTCCTGCACGTTGAGCCGGAGCCCCGGTTACCCGTTAGGTTCTCCGCGACATGGGATGGGGGTAGGCAGAGACTATGAAACGTCAATTACTACGATTCCTACAAACCTCTTTCACTTCATCAACAGTCATCAATCTTTAATAGAGCCTATAAGTGGCCACCGCTGACCAAATGCCTCTTCTCACACGGAGAGGGTTTGAGAGCATTAATCACCGCTCTTGCTCAATGTGGGTTGCCAATTTCAAACTTATTTATATAACTTATATTTAATTTGAAATTAAGTGCTCGTAACTGCGACTTCCGGACAAGAGGCCTCGAGTTCGATTCTCGGGCCGGGCAAAGTATTACTAGGTTTTTAAATACTTATCAGTAGTAGCACGGATTCTAGAAATGTGCGAAGTCTATGGCAATAGGCTCACCCCTATTACATGGGACTTATAATATAAATAGTGAAAAGTAAGTGTTACATTGTACAGTGGCATTTAGTGCTGTAATGTGCACCTCTGCCTACTCCTTCTGGGAAAAAAGTCGTTATGAATTTGAAATTACGGGTCCAGCTTTTCTAAGTGACCTTAGATAATACATATAACTTGGAAAAAGTCACATTGGTACTTGCCGTTGGTAGGTTTGAAACTGTCATGAGGAGCCAGCATTTTAACCCTCCGGGCCAACACGACAATTCTATCAATAAATATAATAAAATCGTAGGATAGTACAAAACGGTACATTAATCTGGAGTAAGATCTACTATCGACATCAAAACCAAACATTTCGTTTGTCTGTTTGTCTGTATGTATGTCCGGGCTAAATTCAAAAAGTACTGCATGGATTTACTTCGTCGGGTCACATTATAGGCTACATATTATCACGCTATCACATACGGGGGAGGCGTTGTGAAGAACTATCCAAAGACACTATACCATGCGGACGAAGTCGCGGGCATGTGCTGGTACATAAATAAATAGATAGTTATTACTGTTATCACCTGTCCATCCGAAGGCTTTACATGATTGTTACAAAGATAAAAGTGCTCGTACTTCATATTCATGTTATCTTATTTATTTAAATAATGTTTGTACTCAGTGATTTACGTTTACAAGGTAAATATTTTCATACATTTTTTAATTAAAGTGGTGCGATAAGGAACTGTAGTCAAAACTGTGATTGAGTTTTCGATTTGGACATTTTTCTGTTGTAGATAACACAACATAATATTACATCACGCGTTTTATCCCGAAGGGGTAGGCAGAGGTGCACATTACAGCTCTTAATGCCACTAAGCACAATGTACCACCCATGCATGACGTTAGAGTCTCCCCCTATTACAAAAAATTAAGTGCTACCTACATATCTGTAGAATTTTTATATGAACACATTTTTACATCTGATCTAATTTCATTTGCGTACTGTTCCAGGGTCCATCAGGGCTGGGCATCATGATAATCGAGGGTCGTCACACGGAGGCCGGACGTGGTATATTCGTGTCAGATCTACAGGAAGGCAGCGCTGCAGAACAGGTCAGTTCAGAGATGATTGTGATCTTCTTGAGTAACTAATGATGTATCTACCAAAAATTTGTGGTCACAAGGGACCAATGGGGCTTCTGTGAATCGAATGGTTCTTTGGCGACTTAACCGAACTTCTATTATATCTGATTAATTGATTGTCTCCTACTAAATTGATATCCCGTAGACTATGTCGGTACCAATAATTTTGTTTCATTGGACTCTTAACTGTTGAGCTTTGTCCTGCGTGAGCGATCTAGAAGCGAATGCGAAGCGGTGCGGCGCTGAGCGAAAATAACAAATCGTTGAAAATATTGAAGTACGTACGCCCGTGAGATGCGGTGCGGTGCGGCGCGAAATGACGCTGACACGATCAGTTGGTTAGATTTTTCGCGCGAACTGTCATATTTTTTTATACCACGACGGTGGTAAAAAAGCACACGGTCCACCTGATGGTAAGCGGATGCGATGCTGTCATATTTTTGTTTAAACTGTCAAACACCAAGCGGTCACCGGTGACCGCAACCTATTGTTCTATAATTGTGTCTACAAAACCGGTACTCGACGAGTTAATTATTAATGACAAGTGAAACAAGTAAAACAAGTGAGTCGCACCGCATCGCATTGTCGCGAGTCACCGCTTCATAATCGCGTTCGCTTGTAGATCGCTCACGCAGGACGTAGCGTTAGCCTATTGCATAGAAAATTATGGTAAATAATTATTTATTGATAATGTCGAATTGATATCCCAAAACATGTTTATATTGCAACAAAACAATACATAAGCTCGCCTAGTAACAAAACAAATGAAGATCGTATTAATACCATAGACCATGCAAGTATCGTACTATTGTCAAAACATTACGGCATCGCGGCGAGATGACGTACGATCGTAGTGTTAATTGCGTCATTTATGATGATATAGGAATTATTTTTGATATTAATTGAATATTTTGTTGCGGAAAGTTGGCCATTAGTAACGATTAGTATTCATTAACGGTCCATGTTGATAATGGGTCTCAATTAAAAATTTCCAGATCAATTTAGGGTTTTAACAGAAATTCAATAAAATATACATGACTCCACGCCTTTTATTCCCGAAGGGGCAGGGAGAGGTGCACATTACGGCACTTAATGCCACTATACCATGTACCTAACACCCACTTTTCACTATTTATTATGTTATGAGTACCATGTAATAAGGGGTAAACCTTTTGCCATATATCGGGCCCAATTCCACACTCCGTGCATATTTTGCCCGACCCGGGAATCGAACCCGAGACCCCTTGCCCGGCAGTCGTACTTGCGACTGCTCGGCCAACAAGGCAGTCAAATTCAATAGATCTATTTAAGTTAAAAATCTACATCAATCCTAAAGTAAGAAATAAGAAATTTATTTTCCAAGCAAAACAATAAATTCACGTAGAAAGAGGCAGTAGTTTATAAGTACTGCGTTATGTGCAATTTCAATTGAGACTATTTAGTTTATTACACACACAAAGGGATAATTAATTTTCATGATGCAAAATGTCATTAGCAATTTAGGCGATGAGGGAAACAAAACACGCATTCGCATTTATAAAATAACATAACATCACGCCTTTTTATCCCCGAAGGGGTAGACAGAGGTGCACATTACGGCACTTAATGACACTGTACAATGTAAAACCCACTTTTCACTATTTATGTTATACATTTACAAAATAAATGGGGATTTTACAACAAAACCGCAAGATATAACAAAACAAAAGCATTCGAATATTTTCTTTCGGTATTTTACCACAAATGCCTCAAAATATACCTACCAAAACGAAAACTATTGAACTGAAAATGTATTTAATACAAGTGCAGAATAAAATACAATTTTCAACAATTCAACTCTTCTAATGGGCATCAAAAGAGCCATAACCGAAAATAACCGACTTCAGTCCAAAAATCTGTGGAAAGCGTGTTTGTCAAAAACAAAGTTAGATCCAAACGTAATCTTTACTAATATAATAAATCGGAAAGTGAGTTTGTTTGTTTGTTCCGCTTTCACGCCGTAACTACTAAACCGATTGCTTTGAATTTTTGCAGACGTAAAGTTAGAAGTCTGGATTAAATAATAGGGTACTTTTTATCCCGAAAAAATTTGATATTCTCGAGGAAAAATCATCATTGGTATAGATGGCGCTGTGTGTACATATATGTCAAATAGGCTACTTTTTATCCTTTTGTGACGCGAGCGAAGCCGCGGGTAAAACCTAGTGGATCAATAAGACCGGTTCTTGATTTTGACCGTAAGGATATTTGACAGTACGGAACTGCGGAGAACTTAACTGTTTACCGGGGCTCCAGCTCGAAGAACAGGTGTAGGAACGGGGTGGTTTTTAGTCAGTAAGAGTCTGACACTCCTTCTCGCCTCACCCAGGCGGGAGAAGTCATTGGATGATTAAAAGTATAGTTACAAAAGGATACAAATACAATAGATTCGTGGGTTTCTTTCCAACTATATTTGAGCAGAGATCTACGGTTGTGTATAGTTTTATACTAACTAAAAGTTGAGGTAAATACCTATTTGAGTTAAATGAAACTGTGAGTAATGAGTGGTCATTAATCTCAGAACTTGTTAATTAGTTCCATTGTTAACTGGTCAGCCATTGTTAAATTGTAGCTGTCTATTTCTAATTGTCTCGGCTTCGATCACCGGGTCAGATGATGTTATTGGATTTCCCATTTTCGAACGGAATTTGGCGTATACTGTTAGCTATGACTGCCCCGTTAGCCAAATGGTCGCAAGTGCAGCTGTCGAGCAAGGGGTCTGAGGTTCGATTTCTGAGTCGTGCAATGTACTACTGCGTTGTAAAAAAATCTCAGTAGTAGTCTGGAATTGTGTCCGGTATATGGCAATAGGCTTACCCCCTATTACATGGGACTCGTAACATAAATAGTGAAAAGTGCGTGTTACATCACAATAGGCAGAGGTTTAACTATGCCTACCCCTTCGAGGGTAAAAGACGTGATATTATGTTATGTTAGCTATGATCAGCTGATGAGCAGCTTTTAGCTTGTTCGACTATGCAATTTCAAGCCGAAAGTAAACCAAAAGGTAAAGTGGAATTAAAAAAATCAAATAAAAAAAAAAACATTTTTGAAAAGCACACGTACCTAAATAAATATGTACTTTGAGTTTTGCACCTAACTTCTTTCTGGGTTGATCAACCCATTCTAAATGAGATGTTACCTGTGTTCTTAGGCAAATCAATTGTGTAGGTTGTTGTTTCAATCACTTGATAATTCAGTGGCGTGCAGTCCATATAGGCAAAAAGGCTTTGCCTACCTTATAAATATCGTGTCAATATAACATAATATATAAAATGTACAAACGCGTTTATTCAATAATATAATAAAAGTTTGTAAAAAAACGGCTAACGTAAAATATACATACATTCACATCCTTACTATAATATTATAAATCGGAAAGTGATTGTTTGTTTGTTTGTTCCGCCTTCATGCCGTAACTACTAAACCGATTGCTTTGAATTTTGGCAGACGTAAAGTTAGAAGTCTGGATTAAATATAAGATATATCTAGATTAAATAATAGGGTACTTTTATCCCGGAAAAATTTTATATTCTCGAGGGAAAACGAAATTATTGGTATAGATGGCGCTGTGTGTATTGGTCACATAGGCTACTTTTTATCCTTTTGTGACGCGAGCGAAGCCGCGGGTAAAAGCTAGTATACTATACACGGACCGCACGCCTTTGCTTGATATTATGTAGATACTGATTATGTTGTATACAGTAACAGTGCGACAGTCGCCGCGTCACGGGTCGCGGAATGCTGCTCATGAATATGTGCCTCTAGAATAGCTCGAAACTAGTCGAGTTCTTCGTCAAACAGTTACGTGAGGAAGCCGATAACAATAATTAATTTTGTATCGTTTTGTTTCCAGGGAGGTCTACAGATCGGAGACATGCTGCTGGCTGTGAATAGGGACTCCTTGTTGAACTGCAGTTATGATGCTGTAAGTACTTAATTTATATTACTCTTCAAGCACAGTAGGGACAAAGAACTGATGATCTCTAAGTGTGGGAGAGCCATGCTTCAGCACGAATGGACTGGCTCGACCGGAGTGATACCACGGCCTCACAGAAAACCGAGGTGAAGCAACGCTTGCGTTGTGTTTCGTCGTGTGAGTGAGGTTACCGGAGGCCCAATTACCTTCCCCTTCCCCAATCTCCCCAATCCCTGAATCCCCAACGATCCTAAAACTCCTAATCCCCAAAAGGCCGGTAACGCACTTGTAACGCCTCTGGTGTTCCAGGTGTCAATGGGCGACGCCGATTGCTTACCATCAGGTGATACGTCTGCTCGTTTACCGGCTTATGCCATAAAAAAAAGAAATATTGCCTCGTCTTTGATGTCTTCCTGATCATAACGATATTTTGTTTTTGTTTTGTTTTCTTATTTTAGTAAGTTTTGTAATTAGTATCTATAATGCGTCAAGCGTGTCTTTGCATTGTTCTTACATATACGTACAGTATTGAAATATGTATCAGAGACATTGTAGAACATACTATTTTTAAAAAGAGTAATGAATGGCGTTTCTTGCTCGTTCTTCTCCATTCGAATCTACATTTTGGAATGAACATCTAGCTTCACTGACGTTCTGACTGACAGACTAATTATTTATTTTGTATTAGTTTATGTTTCAAATGTACCAAAATTTGAGTCAAAGTCAAAGCATTTATTTTAATAAATGCTTTGACTTTGACTTTGAAATTTGATCACCACTTAATTTTCCAGGCGGCTGCCAAGTTGAAACAGACGGAGGGAGTGGTGGTCCTCACGGTATGCACTCCGAACCTCAAGGAGCCAGGAGAGGAGTCCCCAGCTACTGCAACCACCCCGGGAACACCTAGTGGTTGGTTTTTGTACTTGGATCACGATGTTGTAAAAAACATAAAACATACCATCACGCCTTTTATCCCCGAAGCCATTGGTGCACATTTACGGCACTTAATGCCACTGTCCGATGTACCACCCACTTCTCACTATCTATGTTACGAGTCCCATGTTATAGGGGATAGTGTATTGTCATATATTGGACACGATTCCAGACTCCGTGCTACTCCTGATTAAAAAAAAAACCCTGTAATTATTTGCCCAACCCGGGAATCGAACCTGAGACCCCTTGCCTAGCAATCGCACTTGCGACCACTCGGCCAACGAAACAGTCGGGCAACGAGACAACAAAGCAGTGTTGTAAAGAATAAACATGAACATGATTATAACGTACAAGAAAAAAAAATAGGGTTATTACTGTGGTTACAAATTTACAATTTAGTCTCTATTATTATACTATACATCAGTACTTTTATCCCCAGCTTGCCCTTCGATATAGACCTCCTCCAAAGATTTCCAGTTTTCCCTATCCCTCGCACAAGAAAAGGGCTTGACATATTATTTCATATTTAAAGCAATAAAGAAGAATATTCCTAAGTGACAGCATTCATTATAGATTTTTGTATGTCTAGAAAAGCAGAGTTTTGGTTGACACCATAAAAACTTCCGTCTGTACTCTTTGTATGGGATATGGTTCACGTGATGGTAAGCAATCAGCACCGCTGCAACATCCTCAGCTGACGACGGGTTATAAGTGCGTTGCCAGCCTTGGCAATTGCGAGAAGCAGAGAAGTTATTGAATCTGTAGTTACATCAATCATCATGACTGCACGGTTGGTGCAGTGGCTGGGCAACCGGCTGCCGGGCAACGTGTCGCGGGTTCGATTCCCGCACGGAACAACACTTTGTGTGATCCACAAATTGTTGTTCCGAGTCTGGTTGTCATGTGTATGTTTGTAAACGCACCTACGACACAGGAGATAATCCTAGTGTGGGGCAAAGGTTTTTTGAGAAAAATAAAACATCAAGAAATTTGTTAAAACACACCCATCATATTGATGTTTAGTTACCTCAATTGCTTCTTCTCCTAACACTATCACAAAAGACCAATAAAGCTAAAGTAATGTTTGTATGTATTACAGGTGCTGATGGTCCAGGTGGAGCGTCTCGACCAGCGAGTCGTGCAGCACAGAACGACGCCGCCAGTCGACCACACACACCGCGCCCCATACCTTCACCTGTTAAAGGTAACACAAGTATTTATAACATAAAGTATCATCAACAGCCTATAAATGCCCACTGCTGAGCAAAGCCTCTTCTCACACGGAGAAGGTTAGAGCATTAATCACCACGCTTGCTCAATGCGGGTTGGCGATTTCAAACTTATAATTAGAAATTATAAGTTCAGGTTTCCTCACGATGTTTTTCCTTCACCGTTTGTCAGTGGTGTCTAAATAATCTTAGAAAGTACATATAACTCGGAAAAAGTCACATTGGTACTTGCCGTTGGTAGGTTTCGAACCCGCACCCTCATGCATGAGAAGTGGGCGTCTTAAACCTCCGGGCCACGACGACTGTAACATAAAGTATGCTTATACAATATCCTCTATTATCATAAGGGCACTCGAGGACCTGGCGAATGGAATGGAATGAGGAAACGGAAGGACCAACAACTTCTTCGACGGACACACATCTGCTAGGTACACGTTAGCGGTGTTACAGTGTAGCGGGTTCGATTCCCGTGCCGAGCAAATCTTTGTGTGATCCACAAATCGTACTTTCGGGTCTGTGTAAATGCACCAACAATATAGTAGAAAATCCTAATATGGTGTAACGTTAAGAAAAAAGAAACATTCCAACAGGACTCCGAATTATTGAGAGCTCAAGGGCCCCAGCATAGTCCCTTAAGATAGTAGAAGTACCTTAAGATTCTCATTTATCCCCAAGCGGTCGCCGGTGACCTCTCCCCACTAACTACAGTAAAGACCTTATTTCCGATGTTTAGAGACTACCTACATACTTTTATATGAACAATTTTAGTGGATGTCTTTTTGACGGGGAAAACCATCAAATGACTCCTCCCACCCTAAGTGAGGCGAGAGAGAGTGTCAGACCCTTATTGGCTAAAAACCACCCCGTTACTACTTTTGCTTTGAGCGGGAACACCGGTAACCCTTGTGGTTCTCTGCAGCCCCAATCTTAATAGAGATTTGCGATGTTAAGATCCTGTTCCTTAATGATGATTTCGACCCTAACGACAGCATATGCATGTCCATCATATAGATGGTTGGCAGGCTACAACTGTGCGCTTCTCACGTAGCTTCCTGCCTCGCACAGCAAAACTGTGGAATGATCTGTCAGCGGCGGTATTTCCGAACCGATACGACCTTCAAACCTTCAATAAAAGAGCGTACTCATTTTTAAAAGGCCGGCAACGTGCCTGTTACTCCTCTGGTATTGCGGGTGGAAGGCGCTGATCGCTTACCATCAGGTGATCCGTCTGCTCGTTTGCCTTCCATTCCAAAACAAAATTACACTTAGCAGGTTTCACAGTACAGTTTCAGGAAAATGAGGTTTAATGCAGCTGAAAAATCTGAATCTAGACTTTACACATATTTGTATCTTCTTTCCAGTGGAACCACCACCGGACCCGTCCACAGCACCGATCATCCCTAACGTGGACACGGTGATAGAGATCAACTCCGCTAACGAAGTGCTCGGGGTGTTACTACTGGGAGGCAGCGATACCTTGATCAATGTAAGTACCAAGACATCATCATCATTATCATCATCAGCTCGTCTACTACTTCAATAACATTTCACTGAGCCTGATCTTCAACCTAAAGCCAGAATTAAGATCAGATTCTACTGGATAACAAAAAAGTTGTGTAATAACTGTTCTACGTCTGTAGAGTCAAACTAAAAATACCTTAACTAGGAATTGGAAGACATAAGATGGCTACTATAGACTTACACGCAGAACACACACACATTGACACGAAGGACATCTGTCATTTTCTTAAGTCTGGTAACGTGGTGACCTATTTATTACACACGCACACATAAATACACCACTGACGTTTTGGTGCTTTAATGATTTCTTAATGACATTAGGACACCTTTATTTCACCTGTCTGTTTATTTCGGATTAGCTTTTGCCCGCGGCTTCGCTCGCGTCACAAAAGGATAAAAAGTAGCCTATGTGACATATACCAATACGCACAGCGCCATCTATACCAATACTTTTGTTTTTCTTTGGGAATATCAAATTTTTCCGTGATAAAAAGTATCCTATTATTTAATCCGGACTAATAACAAACAAACAAACAAACTCACTTTCCGATTTATAATATTAGTAAGGATTGTCTAAATCTAAACAGGAGACTCAGCGGGGAGACCTCAAATCTCTATCAACTTTAATTTTTCAGGGTGCATCTGCGATCATCTTAGACATATACAAGAACGGTGCGATAGCCAAGGACGGGAGGCTGAAGGTTGGAGACCAGATCCTGGAGTGTAATGGAGTAGCCATCACTAAGGAAATGGCGCACGAACGACTCTGCCTTTCTATCAAGCAGAAAACTGCTAAGGTACGGCGTTTTTCTATATCATCTACGTAGGTGGCAAAAAATTTTACGTTCCACTTGATGGGAAGCAGTTACCATAATTGATTCAAAGTCAAAGTAATTTATTTCAAGAAGACCAGGAAGACACTTTTAAACGTCAACAATAAAATTTTTATAATGAAGCTATTTGCTCATTCCAAGGTGTAGATTCCTATGGAGAAGAACGAGCAAGAAACTCTATAGGTTACTCTTTTCAGAAACAATCAGTGCCTTTAGCCAAACGCTACTTTAGCGCTTGTCTACAGAGAGAGTAGAAATCTGAATGTATGGGGATGACACTAACAAGTGTCAAAATTTACGTCAATTCCATTTAATTTAGTTTTCTATTCTACATGTAGACAAGCGTTAAACGGCATTTGGCTACAGCTGCTGATTCACAATACAGGACGTCTGCAACCGCCACAATGTTGGAAACATTCGTTCGAAAAAACATATTAGAGATATCAAATGCATTTACTTACATTAAAAAACTAAACTGTGGAATGATCTGACTGTCGTCGACGGTATTTCTGAACCGATACGACCTTCAAACCTTCAAGAAAAGAGCGTACTCCTTTTTAAAAGGCCGGCAACGCACCTGTGACTCTTCTGGTGTTGCGGGTGTCCATGGGCGGCGCTGATAGCTTACCATCAGGTGATCCTTCTGGTCGTTTGCCTCGTTGGCTGAGTGGTTGCAAGTGCGACTGCCGAGCAAGGGGCCTCGGGTTCGATTCCCGGGTCGGGCGAAATATTACCGGGTTTTTAAAAAATCTCAGTAGTAGCACGGAGTCTGGAATTATGCCCTGTATATGGCAATAGGCTCACCCCCTATTACATGGGACTCTCAACATAAATAGTGAAAAGTGGGTGTTACATTGTACAGTGGCATAATGCTCTGCCTACCCCTTCGGGGATAAAAGGCGTGATGTTATGATGATGATGAGCTATTGATACAACCAACTTTCATATCTAGGTTCTGATAGACATAGATGTACATAGGACGACCACTTCTGTTACCATCACAATTTTCATTAAAGTGTTTTCCGAACTCTGAAAGATTGCTCGCTAACAGTTACATGCGCGGACTTAATTTATGATTTGCACTTTCTAAATTCCAAACTATATGTATATCTATCATTATCTTTATCCTTTCCAGCTAAAAATGACAGTCCACCGACCGGAGCCGTTGAAGTACGAGGAGGTGGAAATAGACCTCACCCGCAAGGCAGGGAAGGCGCTCGGACTCACCTGTGTAGCACCTGTACAGGCACCCGGCGTCTATCTGGGACAACTTGTGAGTATCAATCTTCATGACACCTATTCTGCCTATGGGTGACACAAGGCGCGGAGAACCTAACGGGTAACCGGGGCTCCGGCTCACATGCAGGAGAAGGAACGGGGTGATTTTTGGTCAGTAAGAGTCTGACACTCCCTCCCGCCTCACCCAGGCAGGAGCAGTCATTCGATGATTTTCCCCCTTAAAAAAAATGGGTGACACAAGAATCGACTAAGAGATTACTTATTTAACAAAGGGCTTAGTACAAGTTAGTTTTATGTTTAAAGAAATCGAAATGAGACTGCGTTCTCCGCTCTGATTGGCTGGTACTTTGGAGCCGGCCAATCAGAGCACCGAACGACGACGAACCGAACGATGATAAACCAGATCCTAGGTAGGTATCCCAGATACCAAATTGAAAATTATTACAAGTCCGTCTTTTGAAGAGCAGCAGTAGACTATCATTTATGATGATAATTCTTATTACCCTTTTATCTTATTCCCCTTAGGTATTAGTTTTGAGGATTTAAGATGTCTTTCATTTTCATTCTCTTGATTACTTTGTAGCTTCCATTATCCAAACCACCTTCATATACTCTTATCTAATTTACCATTATTTGTTCTATTTTACAGTTACCCGGTACCCCAGCAGAGTTAGACGGTCGAATCCAACGCGGAGACTTCATCATAACAGTGGACGGTAAGGATGTATCCTCTGCTGATCTTCTAGGAGTCGCAGCCGTTCTCAAACTCTGCGGGAATAAAGCTACCATCAAGGTCAAGCGGTTCAAGACAGTTAGGTAATTCTATAGACTCTGTGTGACCAGTTTTGGTGTCACCGTTTTGGATTGAAGGACCAGATTCTGTTGAAGATTTTGTGATGGAATGAGTATCCGAGGTTGGATATGAAGAATTTTGAAGTATGGTTAAGATTCTGTTTTGAAGTTGTGAATCTAAGGACTGATAAGTATGAGATATGGATCTTGGATGTTCCTAAACATGACTTGAGTCGCCTCAATGCCGTTGCCGATTATTGAGTTCTATACTTGTGCTGACAGAACTACAAACAAAGGTTTTATATAAAGATATGAAAACTGTACACAATGAAGACGCCATCAAGGAAAACTACCAAATGGAAGGGAGATGATATTTTTGTAATAATATGCACCAGGATTAAGTCACTATTTCTTTACACGTAAACGATCAAAGAATGGAGCAGCAGTAAATATAATGCAATTATTTTTAAAGGTAAAACTCCAATGCATTTCTAGATGTTTGTAGACTGTGACACCAAAACTAGTGTAACTCTATTGTAGATTCGTTAGTTCGCAGATCTAAATAACTTGCAAGATAATAATAAACCTGATGATCCTATTTTGGCTCAAAGGACCAAATAGTAAACTGGTCCTTTTCAACAAGAAGTATGTATAGTACAATGGCCAGCAGATCAAACTAAGCTAATCTGCCAAATTAATTCATTGGATGTTTGACTTTATGTCAATAATTAAGTTGAAGATGTAATAGAGATATTTGACAGAATGGGATAGGTTGACTAGCTGGCCAGCAGCGTAGGCGTTTCTAAACTGTTGCCTTAAGAAATAGTACCATATAAATAGGTAATTAGATCTGTTAACTACTCGAAAACTAAATTAGATTTAAATATAGGCCAAATATAATAATACTTACCTAGTTATTCCGTAGTTAACATCGAGTGTTGACAAGTGATTAGACAATAAATTAACTCACTCATACCGTACTTGCGTTCGTTGCAAAATGATTTACATTTTATTATTCTACTTATTTAAAACAAATTTTGAAATATACTGGACCACAAAATATCAAAAATTAGTTTGAAAATTAAAAATAACAATATTTAGCTGCTTTTAAATAGCTGTTGTAAATCAAAATACCCATAGTTCATTTTTGTGTGAGTAATTTATTAAGTCTTTACGTCATCATGTCGGCCATTTTGAGTTCAGGCGCCATTTTGTGTGACACACACGATTTTAAACTATGAAGATGATGAACAATTTAAAATAAAATATTAAAATTAAGTCCGTCAGTAAATTCTAAGATCAAAATATTTTGCCATTTGTATAATTTTATAAATTAGTTTTGGTTAGTCTAAGATTTTTTGAGATTTAGATTTTATTTACTAAGGCCGATAAAACCCATGATTTTAGCTTAGGCAATGCCTCAGTATTTTAGATTTGCGAATTTTAAATACACCTTAATTCAGTACAAGAAGAATAGTTTGTAAATTATACATATAATAGTGAATTAATTATATTATATATCTCAAATTAATTCACTAAACACTAAGTACATTTTATTTATTCAGTTTATTAGTGTTGTATGTTTTTTTTATACAACTGATACTATACAAGATTTTTTGTTCTTCTTCAAATCGAAATAGACTAAAACTAGATTCCAGACATCGCAATATTTTCTAAACTAGAACACGTCTAACTATGAGCAGTTTATAATAAATATAGTGAAAGTACAGTAAATCTAGTCGTATCTCTATAATGTCTAAGTTGCCTTTTAGGATAGGCTTCTCCACTACCGTCGCTAGAAGCTAGACTCCTACATAGTACTTTAAGTATCAGTTAGTACTCCTAGGTGTTTGCACTTAGCACTGAGCCTTTGTCACAATGGTACCTACATTGAAGTGGACGGTTTGAGTGACAGCAAACCTCGGATGTTAAGATGGACAATGTATCTGTGGGACTTGTAATATAACTATTAAATTAAGCGTCATTATTCAAAACCTGCAAAATTGGGTACGTTACCTACTTCCCATAATCAAAAATTAATTAGATGTTTCGACTTTTCAATACAATATAATATTATAAAATAATCACAGTTTGAATAATTTATTTTATGACCAACTTCATTCACAATACACAATCTCGTACAAAATTCGTAGAAAACTGTAAAGTACCCAACTAATTGTTTGACGAAATTATAATAAATGATAGTGTTTTAATTTCCATGAACTAGTGCTTATAGAGGTATCGAGTACAAGCATTGTTTTAGAAGAAAATAAACTGAAGGGAGACAGATCACTTCTTGATTTCCCATTATTTCTAGTCGTTCCTATTCTGGGCTGTGTAGTTTTAACTACTACAAAAATAATAATACTGCAAGTAATCAAGACACTCGATCGCTGTCACTGAGGACTCACCCTGTTTCAAAATTGAATTACACCACAACATCAATCATACTGCACATTCTGCAGTTTTGTATTTAGTTTACACAAATTTTTACCTTTTGGTGTAGGAAACTAGTTACAGTTTACATTGTTGTCTTAGAATGAAGTTTCATTGTGAATTAATCTGAATTAAAAATTATATATAATTTAAACAAAACGATGCTTTGTGACAAGGGCTCGAAATCTCGTCAGATAGAAGGCAGGATACAAACAAAATCATTTTTATATTGAACTAGCTTTTACCCGCGGCTTCGCTCGCGTCACAAAAGGATAAAAAGTAGCCTATGTGACATATACCAATACATACAGCGCCATCTATACCAATCCTTTTGTTTTCTCTCGGGAATATCAATTTTTTCCGGGATAAAAAGTACACTATTATTTAATCCAGACTTACTTTACGTTTGCAAAATTTCAAAGCAATCGATTTAGTAGTTACGGCGTGAAATCGGAACAAACAAACAAACTCACTTTCCGATTTATAATATTGAATAATTAATGTATTGTCAATTATGTAGAGAAAAAATGTGGAAAGCTGAAGACGTTGATATGACAGATTGTAAGAAAAAAATTATATGACATTGCCTGATATGTGTTGAATTCATTTAATTATTTTTCTTTTAACAATTTTTTTACTCGTCTAGTCTTTTATCTGACGAAAAATATATTCAAATAAAATAGGAATAAAATTATTTTCTATATTATCACTAACTCAAAGTTGAAACGTATATTACAGTTTTTGAATTGTATAATTATTTATATAAATATATAATTATTTGAATTGTAATATACATTTCAATGACATAATATATAAGATTTCGAACACCGTCTAAAATGAGCGTAAAATTGTACACCTAATGAAAAAACTGATAATTACGCCAGTTGTTTTAAATAATTAGGTACCTAATTATAAGTTATACTTAAACTTATAAATTGTTATTATAAACTATAAATTAATACGACGGTGTTCACAGCTTTACCTTGTATAAAAGTACTCGTAACTTCAGACTTCGCTGATAGCTATTATAATTATAACAAAAAAAAATATTTATGAAAAATGCGAACTTTGCGACTTTTTATAATCAATTTAAAATTTAAAATAATGCATTTAAATAAAATGAATGGATTGCGTAGCATAATTCTAAAACGTTGTAAAGTGTATAAAGTCCTTTCTCTTTTTAATAAAATTATTAGACAAAAAATACTATTAGCCTATTATACATACTTAGTCGATCTTTCATTACGGTTTAGGTACGTAACGATTAAAATACAAGTTTTGCGGTACATTGCGTTTTAATAACTGAAATATATTGCTGTTTCTATAACCCATCATGCAATGGTTATCAAACTTGTTTATTTAATCGTTGAGTAACAAAACTATTTTGTGCCTGGATACCGAAATGCTTCTTAATTTTATTAAGAAAAAGATAGAATACATTTTTTTAGTAAATCTTTAAATGTATGCGGCATTTAAGTATTCAGGATTTAGATTTTCGTAGTACGGCCTCACTTTTAGCTGAATCTTGTATAAATAGCGTATTAATATTATTATTATATATTTTTAAAACCAACTTCAAATGTGTATTTAATTTTTTGAATAAAAATGATGTCGAATTTTATACATAATTATATTTTTGTAGCAATTTCAAAATGGCTTAATTTATTCAACGTTGAATAATATAACTATTTGAAGTTTCAAATATTTTGTATGCGAATAGAAAAGTAATCTCCTTTTTGTGAAATTTTATTTAATGAAGGTTTCTTAATGTTCCGATATTGAACTTTATCAAGAAAATAATAAGTTTCAAATTAAAATAAGAACATTGAGAAACCGACCACGTTATGCTATTTACAAAACAAACTAAATAGTATTCTATTCCCTTAGACATTAAGTAGAAATTTGTGATCTTCATTATTATAAATATAAACTCCTTAAAATTATTGTAAATGATTTAAATATAGAATAACGTAACTAACTCCTTTCAGTACTTACCTAGTTGTATCTTTTTTCCCTGTCGTCTAAGATTCGCCTTGATAAAGTAATTTTAAACTCTATTGTAATGAAGTTTAGGTGTATATTAGTATAGTTTCAGTTGACTAGAGGCGCTCTAGCGTAGGGTGTAAGAATTGGACAATGTTTAAATGTTGGAGTTACCTAAAGTATGAAATAAACTGATATGTATGAGATAGTGATACCTACTGTAATAAAACGTGCGCTTTTTTATGTCATTGTTTTATTTCTTTGTATTTTCTAGATTTTCCTTTTATTTATTTAAAAATTTTAATAACCTTATCATCAAGTCACTAATTATTATATAGCTACTAGCTTCTGCACGCGACTTCGTACGCTCATACCCGTTTTTCCCGTTCCCATTCGTGATTTTCGGTAAAATGAAAAAAGTATTGGATAGAAACTATCTTAATGCCGCCTCCTGGTTCTAAGCTACCTCCTCACCAATTTTCATCCAAATCTATTTAGCCGTGAGTTATAAATGGTGTAACTAATACGACTTTCTTTTTGTAGGTACTTACATAGATTTTGAATAATATCTTGTTTGTTGGAAATTCTTACTGAAAATACTGAATGAGAGATTAACCAAAATCGCGGGTTACTCACGTGAATATACTGAGAAAAGCTCTACTAGTTTCGAACTACAGAGGGGTTCTTTCGTTCTAAGCAGCGTGCGCGGTTGCGGCGACGTCGCGCAGCTCACTCTGAGAGAGATTCTCAAGTACGAATGAATGTGAGGTTCAATTTTGGTAGCTGGTAAAACAAAGAAATATTGAGCTTTCAGATTTTTGAAACTCAGTATTTGGCAATAAGTACAGAATATATCACACAGAATGTATTATAATATATCTCTAATATTAGGGGGCTTACTCTTGAATCCAATTCCGATCGATCGACATTGACATTGTGAAATTTCGTACTCTTGAGTTGCAACATCAGAAATAAAAGAAAGAAAAAACTTTAATGCACACGCTAAAACAGGTGACACTATAATAATAGTAAATAATAAATAAATAATCTTTATTCATAAATTAAATGGACACAGATACAAAAATATTCCCAGGATAAGAAAATTAGATCTCACATGGTTATATATATATAGATAGTGTTAATATATAAATACTAATTGGTACATATTCATGTCCTAATTCTGCGGTAAAATGAGACCAGTTAAGTCTGTGCAAGACAGGGCCTTGCGTTGATATTCTACTGGCCCCTTAAGTGACCAGCTCCTATTGCATCCAAATTGCGTGGATATTGAATGAACTAAATGGTATTGAGTTTGGCTTTATATTCCGTACTCTGAATGCTATTTTAACAGTTACGATAGAGGTTGTACAGTTTTGACATTGAATAATTATTAAGATTTTATTGGATTGACATTGAATTGACATTAGTTTCAAGAGAAAGCACCTAAGTAGGATTGGCATATTTATATACAAGATCCATTTTTAAAGCTACTAAATCTACAAAGGGAAAAATAAAACCAACAATCACCACAATTATTTTCAAATTGACGTATATTTGGGAACATCAACAGTTAACAATAAACAGTATGTATGTACAATGTTATGTATTAATTAAGTAAATAGTTTAAACAAATGAATATTATGCAGATCTCTTGCTTTGTTCGACAATCTACGTCTGAAGCGGCACACTTCGAAATAATAATAAAATTATTTAAGTACTTATTAATAAATATAATACTATAGTATGTGTATAAGTATATTATAGTGTGTGTAATGCCATACATATCGACTCGTCAGAGTCAATATATCGCAATCCTCCCGCCCTAACACTGTCAAGTAATGTTATTGTTACAGAATATATTATTAATAAATATCATATATTTTATTATAATACATACAAAATTATAATAAAGTTATAAGTTGTCAAATTAAATTATAAGTAAATCTTGTGAAATGTAATACAATATAAAAAAAAATTGCGGGTTTGCGGACGCCATGCAAGGGTAGCTCGCCAACCAGAACCAGACTCGTGCGTATGGCGGGTCGCGTTCCGCGCGCGCCTCAAAGAGCCATCAGACCACTACAGATGGGGCCCAGTAGGGCTGATGCACGATACGGAGCCGCGGAAGGCCTAACGGGTTGCCAGGGATTCGGTTCGAAGAGCAGGAGTAGGAATCGGGTAGGGTTTAGTCAGTAAGAGTCGGACACACCCTCTCACCTAATCCAAGGTGAGAGAAGCCATTGGATGATTACCACGATCTCAATATAACTAGTCGAGTGGAGTTGAGTCTGGGTAGACGACACATAACATCACGCCTTTTATCCCCGAAGTGGTAGGCAGAGGTGCACACAGAAGTAACACCCACTTTTCACTATTTATGTTGAGTCCCATGTAATAGGGGATGAGCCTATTGCCATATACCGGGCACATTTCCAAACTTTGTGCTACTACTAAGATTTTTTTTAAAACCCAGTAATACTTTGCCCGACCCGGGAATCGAACCCGAGACCCCTTGCCCGGCAGTCGCACTTGCGACCACTCGGCCTGCGAGGCAGTCAATTAGTCTGGGTAGATTTTTATGATTATAAATTAATTATGTTTGTATGCGAATTACATGCCTGTGCGACAAAGAAAATGAATAGGTAAGTGTCCTAGAATAATACATACTACATATTGGTCCTTTTTAAGAACCAATTTCTTCAGCTAAGTATCTCAAAATGTTATTTATTAACGGTTTTCAACCGACTTCAAAAAAAGGAGGAGGTTCTCAATTCGACCCGTATGTTTTTTTTTTTTTTTTTCTATATTTGTTACGCGATTACTCCGCCAATTATGAACCGATTTGAAAAATTCTTTTTTCGGCGTATAGGTAATATCTCAAGGTTGGTCCCATTTAAATTTACTAATAAAAATAACAACCCCCAAGGGTGGAAAATAGGGGATGAATTTATTTATACGCAATAACTCCGCCGATTTTAAACCAATTTGAACGATTATTTTTTTATTGAATAGGTATTATCAAAAGGGTGGTTTCATGCGAATTTGAAGAAAATATTTCAACCGTCAAGGGTGGAATTTGAACGATTATTTTTTATATTTCACCCCCAAGAATAGAACGTTAGTTGTTACGAGATATCTCATTAAGGCTGCGCGTTTAGTAGGCCTACCCATATTAAATGCACTAAGGGTATCTACAAAAAAGTAACACTAAAAATTTTAAAATAAAATAATTAACTTTTTAAAAAAAATAAAACCGACTTCAAATGCGAGAACACAAAAAAAAACTAAAAATTAAAAAATAATTCCTAATACCTATTACCTAATACTATAATTTTTCTAAACTATATCAAAGTAATTAAAGTTAAACCATCTAAATATCTTAAAATAGTTATACTTATATACCTACCTATTGTTTTTTGGAGTCGGTGCCAGTAATAAATGAATATTAAACCTAATGAAATAAGAAAAAGTACTCAATGAAACAAAAATGCTGCCTCCCGCCACCGCGTCGCACGTCTCTAGTTCGCGGGTAAACTTAATACGCTGGCACTGGCACCGACTCCAAAAAACAATAGGTAGGTATATAAGTATAACTATTTTAAGATATTTAGATGGTTTAACTTTAATTACTTTGATATAGTTTAGAAAAATTATAGTATTAGGTAATAGGTATTAGGAATTATTTTTTAATTTTTAGTTTTTTTTTGTGTTCTCGCATTTGTTCAATTTTAGTTATGTTTAAATTATCTCATAGACTTCAGTGTGCCGCCATTATAATGTGATGCAATGACTAGACAATAATGATTAAGTACTTACAACAATAGGTAGGATGACAATATTTATAATTATAAGTAACTTATAATTTATAGTTTACTTATAAACAAACTATAAATTTATATTAAAATCACAAATCGTTCTGAGCTAAACTTAAAATAAAGATATTTTGGTAATTTGCTTAGTTAAAATTTCAATTATAAGTTTATAATAAGTCACTGGTTAAAGTTAAAATTAAAAGAAAAATAAATATTAAATGAATAAGATTGTAATAAGAAAAAAAAAACCTGCTCTAAATACGGACAAATAGCATATCAAATTTATAGCAATTTTTTACTTTACTATAAATACAATAAAGTTAAAAATTGTATGAATTTCAACGTCTCTTGGCAGTTTGAATAAAAATTTCACTCATTTTTTTTTATTTAAATACTGCATGTTCTTATAAGTTATCAGTTAATTGTGATCACTTTGAGCAAAATACTTTTTTTACATATTTTTAATACTAATAGGTAAACCATTTCGAAAGTCATACTTTGTCGAATAACTGGGATAAAGTTATAAACAACTACCAAAGTCAGTTGTGTTCAGGAGATCTGTCAAATTGGAACAGTTAAAGAAATAATTTTATAAAGTACTATCTTACTGAGGCACTGTCTATGAATGAAATCACAACCTCTCATTCGAATTCTTCTTTATAACTAATGGCTTTAATCTACTTCGGAGCTTAACAAGTCTCTTGCTGACTCTTCCAGTAGAATTCGTCGGGTTCCTCAAATCCGGCATCGATTTGCTCTCATGCACCGACAATTGTTCAGTCGACTTTGACACAGTCCCATAGTACCTTGGCATACTAAAATCTTCCTGGTACATTAACGCTGACTGCTGTTTAATGCTCTGCAAACTCGTTTCTCCTTTATATTCTGGAGGAGGTGGAGTATCAGCGAAGAATCTTGGCAAATTGTTACTCCTTATAATTGGAGTGTCAGGCAACTGGCTTAGCTTCAATTCCTCTGTAGCTGACATGACTCCTACCATTGATTTGCTCTTTACTAAAGGCGGTTTCTCTGGTGCTAGATGCTCTGGGATGTTCAAGAACGAAGCACTCCTTTGTGGTACCCTCGACAGTACTTTATTCAATTTATTAGGATCTATGTTCTTCAAACTGTCCACTCTGCTGATGGATCTAGTCAGCTTGCCACTACTGTCGACTCTTTCTAAATTCTTGGAGCTGTTGCTTCTTGGGAATTCATTGTCTCCTCTTAATCTTAGGATGCCTTTAACACTCTCCATTCTTGGTAAAGAGAATGCTGATGGTAAAACCATAGAAGATACTGGATCATACTGGTATATTGGGTTCAGAGTTGTAATCTTAGTTTCATCCTTAATAGTAATCGTACTGGGTTTGATAACGTCCTGCTTCTTAACTGCTACAATACTGTCTTTCATTGTTAGTCCTTCTTCTGTGTCTTGGCTCTGTGTGTCACTCTCTTCTTCTTCTTCAATCTTGAACATGTTGTGGTTGGCCAGCAACTCATCTTTGAACATGATCTCGAAGTCAGTAACTGGAGAGTTGATTTCATCTTCGAAGTACACCTTAGTTCTGTTAGGTCTATCAGATAAGTAGTCAGGTTCTGATTTGGTCTCCAATTCATCGAGAGAGTTTGTGCTTTCTGTTTTATCTTTCAACTCGTGATCGTCTCTAAATATTAGAGATTTGGAGAACACCTGGAAGAGGAGAAATAGTTTGATAAGTAACATGCTTACTTTTGTCTCTAATTTCGAGAATTATGTAATGTAATTGAGACGTATACAAATTCCATTCCTACATTCTAAGAAAAGAAAATCAAGAATGAAGTGTCTTTACTGCACTTACTTCTAAAGTATGAATCACTACATAGTATAAAACGAAGTCGCTATCCGCCGTCTGTCTGTCCCTATGTATGCTTAGATCTTTAAAACTACGCAACGAATTTTGATGCGCTTTTTTTTACTAGATGGAGTGATTCTTAAGGAATGTTTATACTCGTGCGAACCCTGGCGGGTCGCTAATTAATGATAAATGACAATACAAAAATCGACTTCAATGCCCATTTTTTGAGGTCGGTTAATCTAAAAGCGTAACAAATATTTTTCTGAAAACCACATCAAATCAGTTCAGTCAATCGCGAGATAATTTCGCTCCAATATACATACAGTTCAAATTAAGAATCGGCTCATTTTATTTGAAGTCGGTTAAAAATTCAAGTTTGTTCAAAAATTCAAGGGTTGTTTAATTCAAGTCACAGTAAATACTAAGCTTTTCAAAGTGTACATGATGTAGCAATCTGAACTTTATGCCATACCTACCTCATAAAGTTTATCAGCATGCAGCGGCAGCTCGTTGACCTCCCTCCCGATGATGGCTCGCGGTGGTAGGTGGTTGTTGTTCACCGGCTGCTCCGTGACCACGCTCTCCACGCTCGCTCCATTGTTCACGTAGCCGTTGGTATGAGGTGCATCCTCGTCTAGTCTGAAAGTGAGCGATTTATTGTTTTAGATATGTATTAATTGTCGGTGCTTTTGTGTGGGATGGAGAATTTTCTTTCAGTTATTCAAAGAAACTGTGATTGGAAAATAAAAGTAGTTTACACTTGTACTTTGTTAAACAATGACTGTTTTGTTGGAACAATATAAAGCTATGTCAGTAACAGGTCAGAAAATTTTAATAAATTCTGGTTTAATGAGCTATTGAGTTTAGAATTAAAAATTCCTGACTGACATGGTTGAACACGTCCGCTTCTCATGTATACGGGCGCGATACCTATCAACGGCAAGTATCAATGTGAAATTTTCCTAGTTATATGTACTCTCTAAGATTATCTAGACACGCTGACAAACGACTAAGGACAATATCGTGGACTAATAATTTCTAATTATAAGTTTAAAATCACCAACCCGCAATGAGCAAGTGTGGTGATTAACCGCTTTAAATCGTTGAGTACCGTCATTATAGACACAATTAAAGAACAATAGGTTGCGGTCACCGGTGTCCTCGCGGTGTTTGACAGTTTAATGTTGGTATATGAGACACAATAGAAAACACACTGTATCTCGCGTACATCTACATTCCAGCATTCCACGGGTTAATGCTCAATCCTTATTCGTGCGAGAAGAGGACTTTGGTCGGCAGTACCCACTTAGAGGTTTTTGATGTGATATATGATGTGAATGGTATTAATCTTATCTTGCTATTATATGTTTGTTTGTTTAGACGCGCTAATCTCCGTAACTACAAGTCTGATTTGAATAATTCTTTTTGTGTTGGATAGCACATTTATCGAGGATGGCTATAGGCTATAAAACATCAAGCTACAGTCAATAGGAGCTGAGCAGAGCGTGTGAATCCGCGCGCAAGTAGCTAGTTATATTATAGTAGGGGAGCCCATGAAGGGATTTCGGTAGTTACTCGAGCGCGTCAGATTAACATATGGGGAAAAACTAGTGTCCTGTTGAATATACCCACCATATATCCGATCTGATTAGAAAGCGGGGACTAAAAATTAAAAAAAAGTCTGACTAAATAAAGTCAGTTTCGTCAGATTAAGGGAAGGTAGGTCAATACCATGCTAAAGGAAGTGTATTTAAAAAATGTGCCCATTCCAACTTGATTTGCAAGAGTGGGGGGATTTTGAAGGGTTCTCGTTGGTACTCTCCAGATCATTCAACTCCACCATGCAAACTGGCAGATTAAGAGTTTTTTATTATCAAAGACACATGAAGCATGTACATTATCAATATCTGACACGCTCGACCACTAGAACAAAAGTTACGCGTAACAGATTCAAAGATCTGTGGATTCCCCCTTCCCCCACCGGTGTAAGAAATTGTCACTAAACCATTTTTTCTTTCTATCACCATATTTTTAAAATCCAGTAAGTTCCAACGACGCTCGAGTAAATCCAAATTTAGCATCGTGGGCTCCCCTACTATAA